AAAATGTTAAGCTGATAATTACTATAAAGAAATCTTGGCAGAACGTAAGAAGGAATCTTCCTTATTTTTAATAAGGGGGGGAAAGTGCCTTTACTTCTTTTGCCAAGTAGTAGAAAGTTCAGACTTTAGCTCTTTTCTTTCATAATTGGCTTTTGTGCCACGAGCAGTGGGGTTTCAACGCTCAGGTTTCCGTGGAGTTGGAAGCTGGATTCTCACATTCCTGCGGTACAGGAAACCAGTGTTAATGATCTGGGGAACTCGGGCATCTCGGAAACAGGTTGAGAAGTCAGCGTTCAAGTTTTTCTAGAAATATTTGTTCAAATCCTCTTAGCCAGGCAGAAGCAGGCAAGCAAGCAACATTTAAAAGTCTGATCAGCTGATACAGTGCTAAGTTGTAGTAGGTAAAATATTCCTTAAGCAGTTCGATTCACATATGATGCTATGAGTGGTCCTTGATGTTCTATGAGCCTGGTGGTTTTCTTCAGAGGTGTCATAACCCAACTAGGTAATTGCATCAGTGCTAGAAGGGGTTTTTAGAGGAGGAGGAGGAGGAGGAGGAGGAGGAGGAGGAGGAGGAGGAGGAGGAGGAGAAGGAGAAGAAGAAGAAGAAGAAGAAGAAGAAGAAGAAGAAGAAGAAGAAGAAGAAGAAGAAGAAGAAGAAGAAGAAGAAGAAGAACAACAACAACAACAACAACAACAACAACAACAACAACAACAACAACTGCGGGGTCCTTGGTGCTCTCTGAATTTGGTGGTTTTCTTGCAGAGGTTTCATTACCCAAATAGGTAACACCATCAGGATGTTAGGAGGAGGAGGAGGAGGAGGAGGAGGAGGAGGAGGAGGAGGAGGAGGAGGAGGAGGAGGAGGAGGAGGAGGAGGAGGAGGAGGAGGAGGAGGAGAAGGAGAAGGAGGAGGACAACTGTAGGGTCCTTGCTGCTCTTTGAGCTTGATGTTTTTCTTTTAGAAGTTTCATGACCCAACTAGGTAACGTCATCAGTGCTAGGACTGGGATTTCCTCTCAGTTTATTTTCTAGTTACTTGTCCTGTCATTGTTGGTGGGTTAGGGTTCCCTACTAGTTACTGAGTAGTAACTATTCCCTAGTCACCTCTCCCTTCTAGGTCTGATGATGTTACCTAGTTTGGGTCATAAAACATCTGGAAGAAAACAACCAAGCAGAGAGAGAACCAAAGACCCCACAGTCCTTTCCTCCTCCTCCTCCTCCTCCTCATCCTCATCCTCCTCTTCCTCCTTCTCCTCCTCCTCCTCCTCCTCCTCCCCTCCACTTCCTTCTAACACCAATGATGTTCTTCAGTTGCGTCATGAAATGTCTGCAAACAAAGAACCAAGCTCAGAGACCACACCAATGACCCCACAGTTGTCCTCCTCTTTCTCCTCCTTCTCCTCCTCCTTCTCCTCCTCCTCCTCCTCCTCCTCTTCCTCCTCCTCCTCTCTGCAAACCCCACTTCCTTCTAGAAGAATGATGTTATCTAGCTTGGTAATGAAACTTCTGCAAGAAAACCCACCAGGGTCAGAGAGCACACAAAACAACAACAATTTTCTTCTATCAATATGTTTCTGTCCCCTGGACTTGTGGTGGCTTCATTGTTGGAGATCCTCAAGGAAGGATTAGAAAGCCCTTTGTTTAGGATTGTCTAAGAATTCCTGCTTTTGGCAAGGGGGGGTGGGCTAGAAGACCTCCCATGGTCCCCACCCTAGACTTTTATCGTGGTTCTATGAAATCCACAAAAGAGGAAGAAAAGAATCATACGGCTGACCTCCAAATTGACAGTTTTGAAATCCAACGACGTTGTTCCGTCTACACCCATCATCCTAATGCCATTGTTACGTCTACACCCACCATCCTGAACACTTGGGTGGAGGAGAAGATGAATCACAGTTGCTTCAAAGTGTCCTTGTTTAACTTCACACTTTCCAGTTTATACAACACACTTAAACAGGCCACTTTAAAAAAAAAATCGCATGAATTCATTTGCAGAGCCTGGGCGTGAAAACTGTGTCAAATCCTTTTGGGCTGTCCAGTCCTTGGAATGTAAGAAAGGTGAATCTTATAGGTATGAGCGGTTGCACTAAAAAATAGGATTATACAACCCCAGAAGGATGTCTGTGAAGGTTTTCAGTCATCCAGATCCGGGTTGTCCCAAAGCTGCTTTTTCAAGATGCAACTGGACCTTCTTGTTTTTCTTTTGAAGATGTTTCGTTTCTCCTCCAAGAAGCTTCTTCAGCTCTGAATGGAGGGTGGGGAATGGAAGGATTTATACTCCTTGCAGACAGCTGGTCATTTGCCTCCTTTTAGAGGGTCGTTGAGGCCACCTGGAGGTTTATCAAAGTCCACAAAGATGACCAGGGGACTGGAGGCTAAAACACCCAAAGAACGGTTGCTGGAACTGGGTATGTCTGGTTTAACGAAGAGAAGGACGAGGGGGGACAGGATAGCAGTGTTCCAATATATCAGGGGCTGCCCCAAAGAAGAGGGAGTCAAGCTAGTCTCCAAAGCACCTGAAGGCAGGACAAGAAGCAACAAATGGAAACTAATAAAGGAAATAACCAACCTAGAACTAAGGAGAAACTTCCTGATAGTTATAACAATTAACCAGTGGAACAACCTGCCTCCAGAAGTTGTGGATGCTCCAACACTGAAAGTTTTTAAGAAGAGACTGGACAGCCATTTGTCTGAAATGGGATAGGGTTTCCAGCCTCAGCAGGGGTCCCCAATCCCTGATCCGCAGACCGGTACTGGGCCCTGGCCAGTTAGGAACCGGGCCGTGTAGCTGGAGGTGTGCTGAAGATATGTCTTCCACCTCTGGGCATGAGGCGAGACTGGAGGGGTCTGGGCAGGTATGAGAGAGGGGCTGGGCAGCAACAGTTTTGCTCAGTGCAAAGGTCCTCCAGCAGCTGCACTTGCAACTGGCTAATCCTCCTCCTGCTGCTTCTTCTTCATCCTCCTCCTCCTCTTCTTCTTCCTCACTTTCCTCCTCTCCCCCTCCCGGCAGCCCAGCTGATCTTGCACGCCCTTCACGCAGCTCTTCAAGTTTGCAAGACCAGCGCTAGGCCAGCTCAGCTTCAAACCCGGAGCTTCCCCACAGCCTCATTGGAGGGGAACCCTCCCAAGGTATGTGTGTGTGTGTGTGAGGATGTATTTTTGTCAGGATGCAAATAGGGGCAGGGAGAAGCTACCTTTCACCTTAAGCCCTGGGTCTCCAAGGGGATCCCCTCTCTCGCCTGCACCTTTTCTAAGACCGCTGGGCTCCGTTGCACTTCAACCGGAGTTTTTTTGCTTCTGTTTTGATGCTCCAGGTGCCCCGTGTTTTGGCAACATCCTGCCTGCTTTTTGTGGTTTATTTTGGGGTGTGTAGGTGTGTGTGTTCTTCCTTTCTTCTGTAGCTCTCCAAGTTTGCAAGCCAAGCGCGCTCCTACCTGGCTTGCAAGGGGGGGGGGGAGAAGCTACATTTCCCCTTGCTACATTTCCCCTTAAGCACTGTGTCTCCAAGAGAATCCCTCTCTCATTTGCACCTTTTCCAAGACTGTTGAGCTAGCGCAGTCTCTCTCTCTCTCTCTCTCTCTCTCTCTCTCTCTCTCTCTCTCTCTCTCCTATTCTGTTCCATTCCATATTTTCAATTCTATTCTATTCTCTTTCTCTGTTCTTCTCTCTCTCTCTCTCTCTCTCTCTCTCTCTTCTCTTCTAGTCTATTCCATTCCATATTTTCAATTCTATTCTATTCTTTCTCTGTTCTTCTCTCTCTCTCTCTCTCTCTCTCTCTCTCTCTCTCTCTCTCTCCTATTCTGTTCCATTCCATATTTTCAATTCTATTCTATTCTTTCTCTATTCTTCTCTCTCTTTCTTCTCTCTCTCTCCTATTCTATTCCATTCCATGTTTTCAATTCTATTCTATTCTTTCTCTGTTCTTCTCTCTCTCTCTCTCTCTCTCTCTCTCTCTCTCTCTCTCTCTGTGTGTGTGTGTGTGTGTGTGTGTGTGTGTGTGTGTGTGTGTGTTCTCAGCACTTCCTCAACATGCTGGGTTTTGCTGGAAGGCTGAATTTAGGACTATCCCTTCCCACTTTCTTAGAAGCAGAAAATCACTGATCTAATCTAATACAAAGTAATAATAATAATAGTAATAAGTGCATTATTTATTTTTTTGTTTGTTTAATTAGAAATTTTTCACTAAATGGAATGCACTTAAATCATCCTGAATCCCCACACCAACCCCTCCATCCCATCCCACCCCCTGGTCCATGGAAAAATTGTCTTCCATGAAACCGGTGCCTGGTGCCAAAAAAGGTTGGGGACCTCTGGACTAGGTGTCGTTTTCAACTCTGATGTTCCATGACTTCTGTTCCTTATTCCAAAGCCCCACCTAGTGGCTGCTTATAGAACAGAATTCTTTATTGGCCAAGTGTTGACTGGACACACAAGGCATTTGTCTCTGTGTGTAAGCTCTCGGTGTATCTGAAAGAGGCCACTGTTTGAAACCTCAGCTTGGTGGGAAGTTCCTCAAAGGAGTATTTAAACTTCTTAAAGAAGTATTTCTCAACCTGGCTGGGGAATTCTGGGAGTTGAAGTCCAGACCTCTTAAAGTTGTCAAGGTTGAGAAACACTGTTTAACTCCACAGCTTGGAGGTGGAATTAATTCAGACCCAAAGTTTCTTGTTCACGGCATTGCCCCAGCTGGCAAACTAGCCAGTCGTTTGTAGGCTAACGTGTGGTGTAATGCAAATTCCATCCACACCATTGCTGGATCCGTGCATTATGAAAACCTAGACCAGGTGTAGGCCACCTTAGTTCTTTCATGACTCGTGGACTTCAGCTCCCAGAATTCCTAAGCCAGCATGGGGGAACTATGCCCCTCTCATTACCTGTGGACTTCAACTCCCAGAATTCCTGAGCCACATGGCTCAGCTTAGAAACTTCTCCCTTTCCCCTCAACATGGCTGGCTCAGGAATTCTGGGAGTTGAAGTCTATGAGTCATAAAAGAGTCCAGGTTGCCTACCCCTGATGTAGGAGGCTCACCGCTTAGAACAGGAGGACTTAGGTCAGGGTTAGGTAACCTTGGCTCTTTTATGACTTGTGGACTTCAACTCATTTCTGATGTGAGACCCCAAATGTTAGAACTTCTTTGAGCTGGGAAAGTTATGGTAGACTGTCTTTGATGTGAGGTCCTAAATTTCAGATCTTCTCTGTGTGGGAAAGCTATGGTGGACTATGTTGGACACATCACAAAGTACCAGAGATGGAAAACAGGAGTGGCAAGTGAAAGGATTTTGCTACTCAGTAAATCTCACAACATTTGCCTGTTTATAAAAACACAAATTGCAGAATGAGGAGATGGGACTTGTTCTAGAGACATTCTAGATAAATGGAGAAGATTTAGTTCCATCTCTTCATCCTGCATCCCTCTCCTGGGACCTATGCCAAGAGATGAAAGCCAAGAAGCTTCTTTCCTTTCTTTGGTAACATCTTACTCTTCCTCAAGTTCTGTCATCAGAAGATCTGGTCAGGACAATGATTGGCGATTCCCATCACTGAGTGGCATTCTTCTCCCCTAGAGATCCCCAAATATTACACCAGGATTGTTGGCAACAGGAGGTCCCAAACGAAGCAAAGCCCAACTCCATCTGAATATCTGGGCAATAGGCTGAGCATCTCTTGGTGATTCTCTTTTTGAAGGTTATCACGCCTGAAGGACACAAGGAAGAAACTGAAAGTGTGGTGAGTGGAAACATTGGCGGGTACAAATGCTTGAGTGTTGGACAACATGACTACAAGGATTGAGGACTGAGTTCATTGACAGCAATGCCAACCATTTTGCCACCACCCAGTTTGTAGGCAATAACACAATAACCGTGTTAGAAGGGATCTTGGAGGTCTTCTACTCTGACCCTCTGCTCAAGCAGGAGACCTTGTACTATTTCAGAAAATCTTTTCTTAAAAGCCTACAGTGATGGAGCATCCACAAGTTCTGGAGGCCAGCCATTCCACTGGTTAATTGTTCCCACTGTCAGGAAATTTCTCCTTAGTTCTAGGTTGCTTCTCTCCTTGATTAGTTTCCATCCGTTGCTTCTTGTCCTGCCTTCAGGCGCTTTGGAGAATAGTTTGACTCCCTCTTCTTTGGGGCAGCCCCTGAGATATTGGGAGGCTGCTATCCTGTCCCTTGTCCTTCTTTTCACTAGACTAGACATCCCCAATTCCAGCAACCATTCCTTATATGTTTTAGCCTCCAGTCCCCTAATCATCTGCTCAAGCAGAAGACCCTATACTATTTCAGACAAGTGGCTATCCAGTCTCTTCTTAACAACCTCCAGTGCTGGAGCACCCACAGCTTCTGGAGGTCAGCCATTCCACTGGTTAATTGTTCCCACTGTCAGGAAATTTATCCTTAGTTCTCGGTTGCTTCTCTCTTTGATTAGTTTCCATCCGTTGCTTCTTGTCCTGCCTTCTGGTGCTTTGGAGAATAGATTGACCCCATCTTCTTTGTGGAAGCCCCTGAAATATTGGAAGACTGCTATCATGTTACTCCCTAGTCCTTCTTTTCATAGGACCAGGAGTGACATGATAGCAATCTTCCAATATTTGAGGGGCTGCCACAAAGAAGAGGGGTTCGGGGAGGACTACTTGGTGATGGGTTTGGAGAATCCCACCGTTCTATGAAGAATGGTGAAAATAAATGAGGGTGTTTAGTTTAATAATAATAGTAATAATAATAATAATAATAACACCCCAGACTTAACAATTGTCAATAAGAAAGACAAAAAAGTCTGGATAGTGGACGTGGCAGTGCCTGGAGACAGCAGAATAGACGAGAAAGAACTGGAGAAGATAACAAAATACAAAGATCTACAAATAGAAATAGAAAGACTGTGGCAAAAGCAAGCAATGGTAGTACCAATAGTGATAGGCGCCTTGGGTGCAATCCCAAAACAACTGGAGCACCACTTGAACACCATTGGCATTGACAAATTCGCTATTAGCCAATTGCAAAAGGCGGCCTTACTAGGAACTGCTTCCATCCTGCGACGATATCTGTAATACCATCAAACATCTACATCTGCCTATCCCAGGTCCTGGGTAAGGACTCGATAGGTAGACAAAATGCCAAATCCAGTCTGAACATCTGGCCGACTGTGCAATGATCCATAATAATAATAATAATAAAGTTGGAAGGGATCTTGGAGGTCATCTAGTCCAACCCCCTGCTCAGGCAGGAAACCCTATACCATTTCAGACAAATGGCCATCCAGTCTCTTCTTAAAAACGTCCAGTGTTGGAGCATTCACAGCTTCTGGAGGCAGGTGGTTCCACTGGTTAATTGTTCTCACTGTCAGGAAGTTTCTCCTTAGTTCTAGGTTGCTTCTCTCCTTGATTAGTTTCCATCCGTTTAAAGAAGAGAAGACATAAGTCTTTCAACACGGGAACAGACCCAGGGAACAAGGGTATACATTTATTCTCTAGAGTCCTTGTAGGACTCTGCAGAACCAGAACAAGAAGCAACATGTGGAATCCTTACAGAAAGAGATCTAAGCTCAAAATAAGGAGGAATTTCCTGCCCACAAAAGCAATTCAGAAGTGGAACAGCCTGTCTCCTATCCCTGGAGAATTTTATGTATCAATAGTCCTCTACTTACAACGGTTTGCTTGAATGACCCGTTTGAAGTTACAAGAGCATTATAAAAAAATGACTTACAGCTGTTTTTCACACTTACGGCCTTTGCAACATTCCCATGATCACGTGATCGAAATTCGGACACTTGTCAACCGACTCATATTTATGACGGTTGCAGCGTCCCGGGATCACGTGATCCCCTTTTGTGACCTGACAAGAAAAGGTCAACAAGGAAGCCAGATTCATTTCACAACCCAGTTACTAACTTGATTGTGGTCACTTAACAACTGTGGCAAAAAAGGTCATAAAACGGGACGAAATTCACTTAACGTTTTCACGGGAATTCGGGGCTCAGCTGTGGTCGTAAGCCAAGGACCTCCTGCGCAGGTTGAATATCCATTTGTCCAATGTGGCCTGAGTTCCTTCACTTGGGTGGGGCAGAAAATCAACATGGCCCCTTCCCACTCTCTGGATCTTTGGACCACAGCTGTCAACATTGTGAAAAGACGCGTCACCAGGTCACAACTGAGGTTGTCCGACCGGAGGCGGGCCACATTCCTTGAACCCAAAGGCCGCATGATCCAAATTGGTTGCACCAACATGGATATAAGCTATAAGAACATTAGCCTGGAGCATAATCTCTGCCCATTAGTGGGTCAGGTAAAGTTACACAAGGTATCAGCTACGATTTCTTAAGCCTGACCGAGGCCTAAGGAAAAACACCTGGTTCTTACAGAGGAGTTTGATACGCACCCTCTCTAACTCGCTGAGAACACCGTGCCCCCTTCCATAAACCTCCTGAAAGATTTATTTCCCTGGCTGCTTGGGGATGTGAGATGGAAAAGAGCAAAGTCCCTCTTAACAACGGAAGAGAAGATTTGTAAGTCAGGGCTGAACTGTGGGGTCCAGTGCAGAGAAGAAGAGCAACGGAGATGATTAGACAACCGGAGGGTAAAACGGAGGAAGAATGGTGGCAGAAATTGGATATGTCTAATTTTATGAAGAGAAGGACCAGGGCTGACAGGATAGCAGTTTTCCAGTAGGCCTTCCAATTCTTATTCTGCTGGTGCTCAAAATAGAACTTGGAGCTGGAAGGTCTTCTGCTCTGTCTTGGGGGGCTTCTTCTATCTGAAAAGCCTTTGATCCAATATAACCTGGGTCTTTCTGTCTGTCTCTGTCTCTCTGTCTCTGTCTCTCACTCTTTCTTGCTCTCTCTCGCTCTCTCTTTTTCTCTCTCTCTGTCTGCGTTTGTGCGCGCATGCACGTGTGTGTTTCTTTCCCTGTTTCTGTCTCCCTCCCTTTCTCTCTCTGTTGCTTTCTCTCTGTCTATCTCTCTGTGTGTTTCCCTGTGTTTCTCTCTGTCTCTCTCCCTCTGTGTGTGTGTGTGTGTGTGTGTGTGTGTGTGTTTCTCTATCTCTCTCCCTGTGTGTGTGTGTGTTTCTTTCCCTGTGTTTCTCTCTGTCTCTCTCTGTCTCTGTGTGTTTCCGTGTTTCTCTCTGTCTCCCTCTGTGTGTGTGTGTTTTTCTCTGTCTCTCTCCCTCTGTGTGTGTGTGTGTTTCTTTCCCTGTTTCTCTCTGTCACTCTCCCTCTATTTCTTTCCCTGTTTCTCTGTCTCTTTCTCTCCCTCTCTCTCTCTATATGTGTTTCTTTCCCTGTGTTTCTATCTTTCTCTCCCTCTCTCTTTCTTTTCCTGTGTTTCTCTGTCTCTCTCCCTCTGTTTGTGTGTATGTTTCTTACCCTGTGTTTCTGTCTCTCTCCCTCTCTGTCTGTTGCTTTCTCTCTGTCTCTCTCTGTGTTTGTCTCTCTCCCCCTCTCTCTGTTTCTTTCCATGTGTTTCTCGTGTGTTTCTTTCCGTGTTTCTCTCTGTCTCTCTCCTTCTCTCTCTGTCTTTCTTTGTCTCTGTCTCTCTCTATCTCTCTGTTTCTGTCTCTCTCTGTGTTTGTCTTTCTCCCCCTCTCTCTCTGTTTCTTTCCGTGTGTTTCTCTCTCTCTCACCCCCTTCTCTCTGTGTTTCTTTCCGTGTGTTTCTTTCTGTCTCTCTTCTTCTCTCTCTGTCTTTCTTTGTCTCTGTCTCTCTCTATCTCTCTCTATCTCTCTCTGTCTCTGTCTCTCTCTGCGTGTCTCTCTGTGTGTGTGTGTCTGTCTCTCTCTGTCTCTCTCTCTCTCTCTCTCTCTCTCTCTCTCTCTCTCTCTCTCTCTCTCTCTCTCTCTCTCTCTCTCTCTCTCTTTTGTTGCAAGGGACTTTTGGAGTGTGACAATCCTTCTGATGCCCAAGTTATTTTCACCCCACCCAGTAAGCAAGCAGCTGCCTGTAGTGTACCAATTTTATACGAGGCCACAGCAGTCACGCAGAACACTTCTTCCTTGCCACACTCCCTGAAACGGAGACACCACAGGTTGGTGCGCTGGTTGTCGCATACGAAGCACGTCAGCGGGAAAACTGCAGAAGGCGAGAAGGAAGGAGGGGAAAAAGCGAAGAGCATTTCAGACTTGAAATTAACATCTTGTCCAAAGTTTCTAGATGTGGTTTGGCCTCTGAATCCCCAACGGAGTATAACAGCCGTATCTTAAACCTTTTCAGGTTCTGCTTGCTGGTCTAGGATCAAAATCAATCACTTTGGTCGTTATGGTACTTTAAAGGAGGCGCGATGGATCCGCAGTTAACAATGCTGAGCTTGTCAGCCGGAGAGCTGACAGTTCGAGACCCGAGCGCCGCACGACGGGGTGAGCTCCCGTTCCTTGCCTCAGCTCCTGCCCACTTAGCAGTTTGAAAGCATGCAACTGCGAGTAGATAAATAGGCACCACTTTGGTGGGAAGGTAACAGCGTTCTGTGCGCCTTTGGCGTATAGCCACGCTGGTCACATGACCACAGAAATTGTCTCTGCACGACACTGCCCCCTAGAGGGAGGGAATGACTGGACAGGGGAAATTTTACCTTTTGCCCTTTAAAACAGAGATCCCCAACCTTTTGGGCACCAGAGACCGGTTCCGTGGAAAGAGGTTTTTTCATGGAGTGGAAGGTACGTGGTTTTGTATGCTGCCTGCATCTTGCGGATGAGGCTTTGCTTGCTTGTGTGGACCAGTTGCTGGCATGCCACAGCCCGGTATTAGTCCATGGACCGGGGTTGGGGGCTCCTGCCTTAAAAAGATACTTCTTTTCTTCTGCTGGTTATAGTTAGATTTGAAAAACTCCTTTTGCTTGTTTATTATTGTTGTTGTTGTTGTTATTTATTATTATTATTAAATTATTGATTTGGTGCACAGTCAGTCAGACGTTCAGACTGAATTTGGCATTTTTGTCCACATATTGAGATTGAGTCCTTCCCAAGGACCTGGAATAGGCAGGTCTGGATAATAATAATAATAATAATAATAATAATAATAATAATAATAATAATAATCAGCAGAATAGATGAGAAAGAACTGGAGAAGATAACAAAATACAAAGACCTACAAATAGAAATAGAAAGACTGTGGCAAAAGCAAGCAAGGGTAGTACCAATAGTCATAGGCTCCTTGGGTGCAATTCCAAAACAACTGGAGCACCACTTGAACACCATTGGCATTGACAACTTCGCTATTAGTCAATTGCAAAAGGCAGCCTTATTAGGAACTGCTTCCATCCTGCGACGATATCTGTAATACCATCAAACATCCACATCTGCCTATCCCAGGTCCTGGGTAAGGACTCGATAGGTAGACAAAATGCCAAATCCAGTCTGAACATCTGGCCAACTGTGCGATGATCCATAATGTAGTAGTAGTAGTAGTAGTAGTAGTAGTAGTAGTAGTAGTAGTAGTAATAAAGTTGGAAGGGACCTTGGACATCATCTAGTCCAATCCTCCACTCAGGCAGGAAACCCTATATCATTTCAGACAAATGGCTGTCCAGTCTCTTCTTAAAAAGTTCCAGTGTTGGAGCAGGTTGTTCCACTGGTTAATTGTTCTAAGTGTCAGGAAATTTCTCCTTAGTTCTAGGTTGCTTCTCTCCTTGATTAGTTTCCATCTGTTGTTTGATAAGCTTAAAAATATCATCACAGGATGGAAGCTGTTCCAAACAAAGCTGCCTTTTGCCACTGACTTCTGCTATTTACTTATATCCTATTACATGTCCCGATCTTAGTCCCACAGCCAGCCTCAGATGTTAGCCTTACCATTTTGTCTCTTGTTTTTCTTTCTCTTCTCTCTTGGTCCATATTTTCAGCTTACCTGTGCTTCATCTTCCTTGTTTCTATTAAACCTGTACCTTTAATCTTCCATTTCTCCAGACCACAGAGTATAGGGACCTTATAATCAGGATATTTGGTAAAATGCTGTTGTTCTTTTGTGTCTACGTCACAGTTTGTGACTTCTGGTGAGGCACATGGTGAGCTGCATGTCCCTGCCAGAGATCAGCAGCCAAAAAGTGGATCCTGGCTGCTGAAATCTCTCCAGAGAAAGGAGATATCATGGGATTGCCCATATGTACTCCAGACAGCTGTTCCTTAAAAGTAGACTGTAAAAACCAAGGTTTTTGCGGTCAATTGGTGAGCCAAACAGCTGGGATACAACAGATTCCAGCTAAGCTCACAGTGGTAATGTAGCCTCTAAGAATATAAAAGTCATTTTTCTGACAAACAAGGAAATTATTGTTTTATATAAATAACAATACTGTTATTTTTCTTATTTTTCTTTCTATTCTTTTTTCTTTTCTGTACTACTTTTACTTTTTATTTTACTTTGCATCCGCTTTCATATTTTTAATTGTAATAGTTAATAAAGTTTTTTTATCTAGGTCAAAGTTTTTGAGTTGAAGAATTTTAGATTTTTACATGAAGAAAGAGGCTGAACTTGCTTTCCTAAATGGCTTCCCCCAATTACCGTATTTTCCAGCGTATAAGACAACTTTCTAAAGCATGGAAATCGGCGCCGAAGTCAGAGGTCGTCTTATACGCCAAGTCGTCCTATACGCCGGAAAATACGGTATATGGTTTAGCATTTGAGAAGATTCTTCAACTTGGACTGCACGGAGATTTAATTAGATGGATTAGATAACCTTTATTGCCATTTTTTACTGGCACACATTAAAAATGAAATTCTGTTGCCTACTCTCAAAAGTGTATACATACATAACACACATATAAACATGCAATATACATATATGTGTATAGCTACACCCTTACATATAAATACATTAAATCATTGTCTATCTTGAATACCTAGCAGAAAGAGGAAGCTTTAGAGTTCACAAGGTTAATACGGCATGGAACAAAACTGTGACTGAATCTGGATCTTCTGCTTCGGATACCACGGAGCCCCCTCCCAGAAGGTAACAAGGAAAACAGGTCGTGAAGAGGATGTGTAGTGTCCCAGACAATCTTGTGGACCCTGCTCAAGCAGTGCTTATGTGCTATGTCCTGGATAGGAGGGAACTGCAAATAATCTTTTCTGCCGTCCTCACCACTCTCTGCACCACCTTCCTGTCTGAAGCAGGGATGCTTCCAAACCAGACTGTGATGCTGTATGACAGGATGCTCTCAATTGTCTCCTTGTAGAAAGTGTTCAGGACAGGGGAAGGAAGATGTACTTTCCTCGTGAGATGCAGAAAATGCAAGCGCTGCTGTGCCCGCTTCACCAGTGTCTCTCTCTTGAGCGACCAAGCCAACCTATCAATCAACCCTAAAATAAATCAACTCTGACTGATCCTTGGAAGGACAGATAGTGAAGCTACTTTGGCCACCAACTGAGAAGAGGGGAATCCTTGGAGAAGACCCTGAGGTTGGGAAAGATGGAAGGCAAAAGGAGAAGGGGACGGCAGAGGAGGAGATGGTTAGACGGTGTCCTCAACCCAATGAACACGAGTTTGGCAAACTCCAGGAGACAGTGGGGACAAGAGGACCTAGTATGCTATGGTCCATGAGGTTGGCAAGAGTTGGACATGACTTAGCAACTGAACAACTGGTAGAACCTTAAAATGTTCTACCTCTCCCAACACATAATGCTTCCAAACAGAATATAGGTCAATGAATAAGTCAAACTAGAGTTGGGTAACTCTATCAGTGCCTGAAGCTAACTTTGGCAATCCATCTGTGTTGGTCTAGCAGTGCGGGCTTACCTTCATTTTTAAGCAAAAGCAGTAGACCAAGGACGACAAGGTAGGCCTTCATGGTCCCAGGTTCTCCTTCTTGAGACCTTCAAGTGAACCTTGCAGGACCTGATGAAGCAGTGGACTTACCTTCTCCAAAGGAACTGGAACGCTTGTGAACAATGATATACACGCATGTGAGTGACTCGCCTTGCCTTCCCCTTTGGGAGGTACAACTGAGAAGATCGATAGTTGCCTCCAGAAAACAGGTTTGGTCAAATGTTTCTAACTCTTGCTAACACTTTCTCCACCATCAAAAGCTCCTCCTCCTCCTCTTTGCCCTGCCATTTCTCTAGCTGGGGAAGATGACTGGCTGGATGAAGATCACCTGAAGATCAACAAATGGCTGTGGCTGATTTGCAAGACACTTGGATCGGAGCTCACGTTCCTGCCAACGTGAAAGCTTCTTATGATGCGGGATCTACTAAACTGTTTATCTAGATAGAATGTCTGGTCCAAATGTATGGAATCTGCGTAAGTATTGTGTAAGTATTGAGGATCCTGGGAAAATGATTGTAGGTATCTAGCCCTTCGCATTATCTCCTGTTCATCAAGGATCTTTTGAAGCAACTAAGAAGGATTACCTGGATGGATCCAGAGAACCATGAGTATGGGTAGTTCTCCACTTACCGCCATGCAAAGTTACAACGGCACTAAGCCACTGCCAGCAGGAATTCTGGGAGTTGAAGGCCATCATTCCCCACTCGGCTCTAGAGTCAACAGGACAAAATCTCTTCCCAAATTGTTATAACTTTTCTCTGTACCAACTGCACGTCTTCTTTCTTGCACTTCTCCACAATTAGCCTGAACTCTGCTCCTTAAAATAGATTAACTGGAAGCTTAGAAAAATCTATGGAAATATGAAGGTAGAAACATAGTGGTAGCAACAGAAGCACCCTTGACGGTCGAGGTCCTCTAAGTCGGTTGCGTTGCTTCAGGACCTTTCTGTTCAGTGTGTTCCTGCCCAAATTTTAGTTATGGGAGTCACCTTCTGTTCTTCATATGTTTTAGCCTCCAGTCCCCTAATCATCTTTGTTGCTCTTCTCTGCACTCTTTCTAGAGTCTCAACATCTTTTTTACATCTTGGTGATCAAAACTGGGTGCCGTATTCCAAGTGTGGCCTTACCAAGACTTTGTAAAGTGGTATTAACACTTCATGTGATCTTGATTCTATCCCTCTGTTAATGCAGCCTAGAACTTTGGGGAGGAATCTCTTAAGATGCTTTTTTCACGAAGCAACTGAACTTTCTTGTTTTTCTTTGAAGATGTTTCGCTTCTCATCCAAGAAGCTTCTTCGGCTCTGATTGGATGGTGGGGACGGAAGGATTTATATTCCTTGCAGACAGCCGGTCCTTTGCATCCTTCTATTCCCCACCATCCCATCAAAGCTGAAGAAGCTTCTTGGAGAAGTGAAAAGTCTTCAAAGAAAAACAAAGCAAGTCCAGTGGCCTCTTGAAAAAGCACCTTTGGGAGAAGGATGAAAGGGAAAGAGGAAGAGGAGAAGGAAGATGGGAGGAAAAGAAGAAGGATAGGAGAGAGACAGAGAAAGAGAAAGAAAAGAAGGAAGAAAAAGAGGAAGAAAAAGAAAGAAAAAAGGAAGGAAGGAAGGAAGGAAGGAAGGAAGGAAAGAAAGAAAGAAAGAAAGAAAGAAAGAAAGAAAGAAAGAAAGAAAGAAAGAAAGAGAGTCTGGAAGGAGTAGAAATCCTTCCATCCCCCACCATCCAGTCAGAGCTGAAGAAGCTTCTGGGATGAGAAGCAAAACGTCATCAGAGAAAAACAAAGAAAGTCAGTTGCCTCCTGGAAAAAGCACCTTTGGGAGAAGGAGGAAAGGGAAAGAGGAAGAGGAGGAGGAAGATGGGAGGAAAAGGAGGAGGATAGGGGAGAGAGACAGAGAAAGAAGAAAGAAAGAAAGAAAGAAAGAAAGAAAGAAAGAAAGAAAGAAAGAAAGAAAGAAAGAGGAAGGAAGGAAGGAAGGAAGGAAGGAAGGAAGGAAGGAAGGAAGGAAGGAAGGAAGGAAGGAAGGAAGGAGACAGACAGAAAGAAAGGAAGGAAGAAAGAAAGAAAGAGAGAGAAAGAGAGAAAGAAAGAAAGAAAGAAAGAAAGAGAGAGAAAGAAAGAAAGAAAGAAAGAAAGAAAGAAAGAAAGAAAGAAAGAAAGAAAGTCTGCAAGGAATATACCTGTAAATCCTTCCTTCTCCCACCATCCAGTCAGAGCTGAAGAAGCTTCTGTGGATGAGAAGCGAAACGTCTTCAAAGGAAAGCAAAGAAAGTCCAGTTGCCTCGTGAAAAAAAGCACCTTTGGGACAACCAGGACCTGGATGGCCATTTAGCAAAATCCCTTTGGAGATTTGGAGATTGGGGGGGGAGGGGAGGGAATCTAAGGAGGGTCAGGAAAGGTTCAGATTGTACCGAGCCTGGTAGAACCACATTCCCCCGCAGAGATGGAGCAGTTCACACCCTGGGAGGATGTGCAACGCCTTCCCCCCCCCCTAAATTGTTGCACATTGAGTGGCACGGATTATTTCTGAGACGGTTCATCCACCCTACAATTAAGCATTACGGCCTAGTTCTGGGCCAGCATCGCAAGCGGAGTTTAAGCTGTCCTCCCGACGTTTTTGGGGGCAGGCTTCTTCCAAGGACGTGAAATCCTGGGAACTGCCTATCACCGCCGCCACCAAAATTACTCTTACCAAAATGGCATGCCGGTTGCCCAAACCCCTTGAAGGCTGATGGGGTGACTGTGGGGGATACTGGGATGGTCGTTAAGGGCGAGGAAGGTTGTAACTTCAGTCACCAAATCCAAAGTTAGTACTTTCCACGACATTGTATACTCTCTGCTGAGTTGTTTCTTTGTCTAGGTTTTTTTTCTTTTCTTTTCCTTCCTTCCTTCCTTCCCTCTTTTCCTTTTGCTTTCCTTCCTCTCCCTTCCTTCCCTCCCTCCCTTACTTCCTCTCAAACTCCTGACCTCCCTTCCTTCCCTCTTTCCTTCCTTTCCTTCTTTCCTCGCTTTCTCTTAAATTCAACCTCCCTCACCTTTTCCCTCCCTCCTTCATTCCCTCTGCTTCCTTCCCTTTATCTTCTTTCCTCTCCCTCTTAAATTCCAGACCTCCCTCACTCTTCCTTCCTTCCTTTCTCCCTCCCTTATTCCTTCGTTCCTTCCTTCCCTTTCCTTATCTTTACTCTCCCTTCCTTGCTCTTAAATTCCAGACCTCCCTCATCCTTCCTTCCTTTCTCCTTTTTCCTTTTCCTTCCTTCCCTTCTTTCCTCTCCCTCTTAAATTCCAGACCTCCCTCATCCTTCTTTTCTCCTTTCTCCTTTTTTCCTTTCCTTCCTTCCCTTCTTTCTTCTCCTTCCTCTTAAATTCCAGACCTCCCTCATCCTTCCTTCCTTTCTCCTTTTCCTTCCTTCCCTTCTTTCCTCTTCCTCTTAAATTCCAGACCTCCCTCATCCTTCTTTTCTCCTTTCTCCTTTTCCTTCCTTCCCTTCTTTCCTCTCCTTCCTCTTAAATGCCATACCTCCCTCATCCATCCTTCCTTTCTCCCTCCTTTTTCCCTTTCCTTCCCTTCTTTCCTCTCCTTCCTCTTAAATGCCAGACCTCTCTCATCCTTCCTTCCTTTCTCCCTTTTTCCCTTTCCTTCCTTCCCTTCTTTCCTCTCCTTCCTCTTAAATTCCTGACCTCCCTCATCCTTCCTTCCTTTCTCCTTTTTCCTTTTCCTTCCTTCCCTTCTTTCCTCTCCTTCCTCTTAAATTCGACCTCCCTCATCCTTCCTTCCTTTCTCCCTCCCTCTTCCTTCTTTCCTTCCTTCCCTTTCCTTTCCTTCTCTTCTTTTCTCTCCTTCCTCTTGTTCCAGACCTCCCTCTCACCCTTCCTTCCTTTCTTCCTCCCTCCCTCCCTTCCACTTAAACTCCCCCCTTTTCTTGCATTCTGGCGGACAAATAGGGCAGGTGCATACAACCAGGTGGGGGACAGGCAGACCACGAAGCCCCTCGCAGTCTCAGATAACGCAACCACAGACTTTCACGTTTGGCCCATTTGCGTCTTTCTCCGCGAATTCGACCGAACAACCTCAGGCGGTACAAAGACGCGCGCCCTCGTGTGGCGAGAGGCTGCATCACATCAAGGAGAAACTAAGGACCCATCCGAATCTTTTGAAACATCATTTTAATTGGTTGCAAAATATTAGAAAAACAGGGCAGTCCAATGACCTTAGAAAATACATCTAAAGATAGATCCTCTGTTGAACAAGCCACAAGAAAGACACAGCCTTAAAAAAAACCTTCCCAGGGACAGTGTGCACTTTAAAAAAAAAAAAAAAACACACACACAAAAAAGGCCCTAGAATTGGGATTGAGTAAAAGCTGAACAGATTTTCTGGGAAAATAGCAGCAGAAAAAGAGTATTATTGCAATACACTTCTGTCACCTGCAAAAATGCATGACGTATATTAGAACAGAAATCAATCTTCTCTTCTTAAGTTATTTCCCCGTTGTATCACGGGGGCCTGTAGAAGAACAGCAATCAGTGTACAGGATGAAATAAATTACTGTTGTTGCAATTTTCATACAAAAACATTCTGGCATATTAATTCTATGGGTTAAGGTGCAAATTCCATGCTCTGAAAGTTTTCACGCTGCTTGCTTTACACTAGTGATGGAAATAAGATATTCAAATACTAAACGGTGCAAATTTTCTTACTTTTAATAAGCAAATTCCTTTACTGGACTCGGGTGCATTCAACCAAAACCCCAAACAAGGCTGGCACTTAAAAACTGTTAAATATGCTATTCCCAAAGTGACACCCCTTTCTGTCTTGGATACAAGTGCCCATCATCCCCAATTAACAGCATTCAGGGGGTTGGACTAGATGACCTCCAAGGTCCCTTCCAACTGTTATTATTATTGTTGTTCGTGTGATGGCTTGAAAAAGTTGAATGATTATTTATTTATTGTTATGCTTTACCAGGTAAGCAAACTGATTCTGGAGGGAATTCTTTCCCTTTTTAATAACTTTTATTGTCATTTTTTTTACCGTGGGCACAACGGCATACATCAAAAAATGAAATTTAGTTGCCCGCTCTTAATATTAGCCCATAATCAGAAACTCTTCTAAACCAAATATTATTTTTAATGAATGCTAATTACCTTGACCTCAGAAAAGCACCCAAATGAAGCTGAACTTGACTCTAAAAATGATTAGATCTAAGAATACTTTTAATCACCAACCTCCAGGGCTGAATTGTTTAAGGAAACAGAATTGAAATAGGGCACAGATGTGCTCACAAGTAAAACCGATGAATGTTTAGTCTGTTGCATTGAAACAAACATTTTAACCCTAGAAATATCACCATCACCATTTTTGTGGGCCGAGTAGCAACCTGCACTCACCAGGTGATCCAGAATATTAATCCTGCAAGGAATTTACGTTCTTCTGCCTACTAATGGCCCCCAAAATACACTTGGGAGTTTTTCATTCCAGATGTTGGCAGTCTAGACCAGGAGTGAGCAACTATGCCCCCTTTACGATCTGTGGACTTCAACTCCCAGAATTCCTGAGCTGGGGGGGGGGGAAAGGATCCTAGTTGCCTCACCCTGGTGTAGACCCTGTGTCCCTGCTTGCTTTTCAGGTCTAGCATTTGCTACACCAGTGTTTCCCAAACTTGACAATTTTAAGGCATGAGGACTTCAACTCCCAGAATTCCACAGCCAGCAACGCTGGCTGTGGAATTCTGGGAGTTGAAGTCCACATGCCTTAAAATTGTCAAGTTTGGGAAACACTGTGCTACACTGTTTACTAAACCAAACCATCTTCAAATCGTAGATGTTCCTGCAAAGAAAATCTTTGCAGGAACGTCTACAAGTCTTTCCCGACTGGGATAACTTGACACAAGTTATCTCCTACAAATATTCCGTTGACAAATTTAACTTCTGGTTAGTGCAGGTGCCAAAACCGTGTGTAGGAACAGTCTGAGTTACCCAATTCTTCTGATCCGGATTTTTGAAGGCACTTCTGATGAAGTTCTTGACCACAATCCAATAAAGGATGAAGGGATCTCCCTCTGTCTGTTTTCTCCCAAAGGCTGGTTCTAGCTCAGTGGTTCTCAACCTGTGGGTGGGGACCCCATTTGGGGTCGAACGACCATTTCACGGGGGTCGCCAAACAACGCAGTCTGCCATTTTTCCCCCTTTTTCCTTAGCTGTGCTACTCCCTTTTATTCTGTTGGTTTTTGAAAGCCAGTAGAATAGACTCTCTTGAATAGAATCTAATTCTATTGGCTTTCAAAAGCCAATAGGAATTGTCCAGGCTGTCTCTGCCCTACTGAGCCCGCCAAAAGCCCCATTCTGCAAACGGTGCTGCACCAGTTGAGTAGTCCTCGACTTACGATCGGTTGAGTAGTCCTCGACCTACGACCGGTTGGGGGTCGCGGCATTAAAAAGGTTGAAAACCACTGTTCTAGCTAATATTTGAGATTCCCCACTAAAGGATGAGGAATTAAGGTGGCCAGGAGCACCACACAAAGGAGGATGTCCCAGTTGGTTAGGAAATGCACTAAATGGCACACGAAGGGTCTCTTTTCTTCCCGGGTTCCATGTATCTCCTCAAAGTATTAGAGGACAACACTGAAAGGGCCAAGGGAACGTTGATGGGGGTACATCTTTCCCTGAATTAGAGGTCCTTTAGATATAAGGAATTGTTCTGAGGATCTTTAGCTACGGTCTCTTGCGTTGGTGATCCACCACATCTCAAGGACGTCAAGAAAAAGAACTGGGCTTCACTGAACAGTAGTGAACAAGAACTCAAGAAATTGAGTTTTACAACACAACGTTTTCCTAAGAGTCTTTGGGAAAGAAGCTGAAGGGTTCAATTCAAGACAGTTGAAGGGTTCAATTCAAGACAATTGGGGTTCCTCATACCACGAGCATCCCCGAGAAATCTAGAAGGCCAGGAGAAGGCTGCCCGATCCTGTTCCAGAACTGTTTTTGTGAGCCCTCCACCGTCCTCACAGACCAAGCTGGAGGACCAACACCACTCATCAATAAATACAACGGGGAGGCCTCCCCTTTCATACAAAAGAAGACACAACGGGCTCCCCCCATTCTCCTGTAGATGTATTTTGTGTGCAAAAAGGCCCTCTGGGCTAGCAAAGGGACAAACAACGCATGCCGACGAGCGACCCGCAACTAGCTGGGAATCGCCGAGGTCCTTTTAGAATACAAAATCTTCGTCGGCCATCGCGATGGCCCACGCAAACTTCGCCCGCTGAGTTTTGTTGTAAATCTTCTCGATGGGCACGTCAAATCGTTTGCACCTAGAGTCAAGGAATGCAGTGGGAAGAGACAACACAAGGGCGTCAAAGCAGAACGAGAGGCAATTAAAGGATTATAGCAGGGTGGATGGTAAGATAGGCACTTCTATTTTACTAGTGAAGGAGAATCTTTGTAGCTTAGGGGTGAATAGTGGGGTCCTTGGTGCTCTCAGAGCTGGGTTGTTTTCTTGCAGACGTTTCATGACCCAACCAGGGAACATCATCAGTGCTAGAAGGGAGGGGGGTTTGCAGGGAGGAGGAGGAGGAGGAAGAGGAGGAGGAGGAGAAGGAGGAGGAGGACAACAACAGCAACTGTGGGGTCTTTGCTGCTCTCTGAGCTTGGTGGTTTTCTTGTAGACTTTTCATTTGTCCAACTAGGTAACATCATCAGTGCTAGAAGGGAGTGGAGTTTGTGGAGAGGAGGAGGAGGAGGAGGAGGAGGTGGTGGAGGAGGACTGTGGGGGTTCTTGGTACTCTCTGAGCTGTGTTGTTTTCTTGCAGATGGTTCATGACCCAACAAGGTAACATCATCAGTGCTAGTAAGGAGTGTTCTTTGCTGTCAGTTTATACACTGGTGTATATATTTGCCTGTCTGGGTGTGTGGAGGCGGTTGAATTTCTCGATTCTTAATGTTCTCCGAACTTGGTTGTTTTTGTTCAGATGTTTTGTTAGCAGGTTTGTTAACGTCATCACTGCAGGAGACCGAAACTAAATCTACTGCTTTGATGAGGTTACCTAGCCTGGTATAATGGAATTCAAGGGAGATTGGACTTTGTTTGTGACTATGTAGGGATTCTAGGCTGAGGCCTATCTTGACTCTGCCCTCCAGTTTCTGCCGTTCCTTCTCCTACAAGTTCCTGTCCTTCATCCTCCACCTAAACTCCCTTCTAGCTGCCCTTTACCCACCAGGCCACGGTGATGCGGGGGTCCAGGTAATTCAACTTAGAGGTGCCCAGGGCGATCTGCTTGTTTTCCTCTTTGTCGGTGGCCTGAAACTTCAGCTTCGCCAGCTGCTCTTCGATCTTCTGCACCAGTTTTTTTTTCTTCTCCACGGCACTGTTGCAAAACAGAGAGCTCACCTATAGAAGTGTTTCTCAACCTTCCTCACTTCAAAACAGACAGGCTTCAAGCTTTGGAATTACCCACCCAACATGGAGAATGATTTTATAATTATTGTCAATGCTGCAAATACTGTATATTCTTGCTTTGACAATATGCAAAACTGTTTGGCATTTATTGGGTTAATACTTGGGCGGGGGAAAAAGCCCGGGAAAGAAAGAGGAAGTAAACGTTTGACCTTCTCACTAATTGGATAATGTGACCTGTGACTGCATGAGAAGGGAGGGGTTGAGCAAGGAAAGCTTGATGCCAGCGACCGGAAGTTCAGATTCTGGCATCAATTAGTCCAATGGTGACCGGCATAATTTGTAGCTCTGCAAATAAAGACTTTAGGAAACATGCCTGAAAGTTCTTTGAAGTGCTTCATTAGTCGGAACTTGTGACAATTATATTTTAATGCTTTGGGGCTCAAAGGAAGCATCCCCACAATTACATGAGTGTTGATCCACTGGTTGTGACAAAAAAGGGACTGACTGGCTTATTGCCCGAGTTGGACTGCGTGAGCTGAGAGAGAGTGACTGGCTCAAAGTCACCTAGCCAGTTTGCATGGTTAAGGCAGGACTAGAACTCATAGCCTCCTGGTGATTGATCCATAGTCACCCAGCTGGCTTTCATCCTAAAGGTGAGACTAGACTAGAACTAGACTAGAACTCCTGGTGATTGGTCTAAAGTCACCCAGCCAACTTTCATCCTAAGGTGACACTAAGCTAGAATTCACAGTCTCCTGGTGATTTGTCCAGTCTGGCTGGTTTTCATGCCTGAGGCTAGAACTCACAGTCTCCTGCTAATTGGCCCAGTGACCCAGCTACATGCAGCTTTCGTGCCTAAGGCAGGACTAAAACTCATTGTCTCCCAGTGATTGGCCCAACTGGCTTTCGTCCCAAGCATGGTGGAGATTCTCTTCCATAAAATCTCTTCACCCTTTGTTGGTAATTGGATCACCCAGCCGGCTTTCAGGTCTAAGGCGGGACTAGAACTCCCAGTCTCCTGGCGATTGGCTCAAAGTCACCCAGTTGGCTTTCATGCCTAAAGTGGGACTAGAACTCCGTTTTCTGGCGATTGGCCTAAAGTCACCCAGTCAGCTTTCAGACCTAAGGCAGGACTAGAACTCCCAGTCTCCTGGTGATTGGCCCAAAGTCACCCAGCCGACTTTCATGCCTAAGGCGGGACTATAACTCACAGTCTCCTGGAAATTGGGCCAAAGTCACCCAGTCGACTTTCATGCCTAAGGCAGGACTAGAATTCCCAGTCTCCTGGTGATTGGTAAAAAATCACCCAGCCAGCTTTCACCCAACCAGCTCAGATGGATGTACATCTACATATCTTTCAATGAGAATAATGAGGGATGGCCATTGCTAAGATTATATATCCAAGGCCTAAAAAGAACCAAGATTTTTACTCACGCTTTTGACTTTGCCACCTTCTTACACTTGTGTTCCACCCTGGCCTTTCGCAGGCCGGCTTTTGCATCAGCCAGCTGATCCTTTTTGGCATTTATCTGGAAATACCAAGAGAAGTAGGTCAAAACTGAGGACCCCCACTCTTCTCCTAATGCCCAAGGACAGGAGAAGAACCAGCGAGTATACCTATCTCAAGAAGGAGTTTTGAACTCAAAGTAAGGAATTTCCTGACCTCAACAGCTATAAATCATTGAATCGGCCGGCCTGCTGGAGATGTGAGGTCTCCATTCCTCATACAAGTAGGCCTTGACTTATCACCACAAATGGGACCCGAATTTGCCCATCTGTTCTTTTCAAGCAAAAGCTGGAGGACCACTTGTCTAGGATGGTGAAGATTCTGTAAGGACCCACCCCACTTTGCATCTTAAGAAGACAGAACTCTTGGAATAATTCTTCCAACAGGAATCCTTTATTAAGAAAAGTGGTTGCAGGCGTGCTAGACAGGACTTGGGGTTCAACCTCTCCCATTCAAGGTTTTAAGAGGTTCCCTAGTAGTCCCACCCAATCACCCCCTCCCCTTCCAGTGATAGTTTCAGGCATCACAATCCCACCCCTTTCTTCCTTTCTTCCGTCTGGATGGAGACTTTAGATAAACTACATGAAAGGTAAATAGCCTCCTTTGTTATGATCAGGTTCTTTGGTGCTAACCACATTCAAACTCTTTGAGGCAATAAACACATTCAGTTCCTTAGAAGTATACTGAAGGAAGTGAGGGCCATAAAGCCCCTTTGTTCTCCCCCTTCTCTCCCTCTTATGGCAGAATCCAGAGAAGGCAGAAATGGGGTTTTCTATATTTGATACTTAAAGATGAAATATAATTGGATTCTGACAGATTCCTTCCCAGGCAGGAGGTTGGATGAGAAGATCTCCACGGCTCCTTCTAACCTTCAGATTCAAGAAAATTCTAGGCAGGAAATCCAGGTGGCCCTTCCTGCCTGCCACCTAGCTCTTGTCTTCTCCTCATTCCTGCGGTCCAACACTTGATCAGCTCCAGCACTCTTTGCTAGAAGGCCATGAAACCAACGACGCAGGTTGCCAGCGATAATAAGGCAGCAAAGAGACCCTCAAGGAATCTTTCCTTTCTTAACACCTGCCACAATCTGACCACCCAGAAGTCTCCCGCCAAATGCATGTGTGTATCCTCCTCCTCCTCCCCCCCCCTTTACTCTCTCACCTTGGCCTGGAGGTTCTTCATGGACTTCTCGTAGGTCTTGGGAGTTGCCCGCTGATGGTTGCACAGGAGGGCCACAGCTCGGTTGGCTCGGTTGTAGGAGAGGAGCTTAGCCGCCAGGGTGTCCTTCTCTGTGGGTGTGATGTGTGTGAAAATTAGCTCCAGGACTAGAGCAGAAGGGACCTTGGAGGTCTTCTAGTCCAACCTTCTCCTCAAGCAGGAAACCCTATAGTATATCATCCTGGACAAGTGGATGTGCATTTTCTTCAAAATCTCCAGTGATGGAGCACCCACAACTTCTGGATGCAAGAGTCCCACTGACCAATCGGTGTCATCAAACTGACAGGTGTCCTCCACAAGAGAAATTTTCACAAAATGCCTCTCTCAATTGCCCTCCTCCTAGTAGTAGTGGGAGGCCAAGTGCTAATGAACTGACTAGGATGTAGCTGTGATTTCTACAGGTCTGTAATTGCCCCGGGATTTTCTGATGCTACCTTCAAATTCTCACAATCACCCAACGAGTTAGGATGGGCTGAGAATTGCCCTATGGGAATTCGATGGCTAAGCAGAGTTGGTAACTAGGTCTTCGCTACTTCCAGACCTTCACCATCACAACTAGATATCCTTCCCTTGGCTCTCAGGCTGAGAAGTCCACAGGGAGCTTTTGTGGCCGAGTGGAAACTAAAACTCATAATCTCTACAGTTACTGATAGAAAAGAACATTTGTAGCTCAGGTTGAACTGTGGGGTCAACAGTTCTCCTGATGTTGTTATCTAGTTTGGTAATGAAACATCTGCAAGAAAACCATCAAGCTTGGAGAATGTCAAGTGCACCACAGTTTTCCTCCTCCTCCTCCTCCTCCTCCTCCTCCTCCTCCTCCTCCTCCTTCTCCTCTACAAATCCCATTCCCTTGTAACACTGATGATGTTATCTAGTTGGACCATGAAATGTCTGCAAGAAAACAGCCAAGCTCAGAGAGCGTCAAGGACCTCCCAGTTTTCCTCCTCCTCCCTCCTCACACCAGAAAAACAAGTAGCTCTTCCCATAACGTCATCCTAGGCCGGTTCCGAGAAAGTTTTTCCGCAGACCCGAGGGGGCATGGTTTTGTGTGCTGCCTGCATCCCGCGGATGGGGTTTTGCTTGTTTGTGCAGCCCAGTTGCTGGCATGCTGCGGCCCGGTATCAGCCCACAGACCGGGGTTTGGGGACCCCTTTCCTAGGCCACCTCCCTCCATCAGAGTCACTTCACAAATGGGCGTCGCAACTGGGAAGGTTCAAAGCCGACAAGAATCCGACTGCCTGCACAGAGCACCAACGCGTCTCCTCACCGAAGTGGTACCTGTTTATCTACTCGCATAGAACATGCTCTCAAACAGCTAGGTGGGCAGAAGCTGAAGCGATTGACGGGAGCTCACCCTGCCACGCAGTGCTAGGACTCAAACCGCCGGAGCAAAAACCGTTTCCAGCTTCATTAAGCCACTGTGTCTTGTTACCGCTCGGAATGCGAATCCATTTATCTGCTCCAACCCCCAAATATGTCCCTTCAAAAATTCTCCAGAGGTGCTGAAAAATTCTGCTGGGCTTAACAAAGGCCCCAAAGCAGAAGAGCTTGGAAAACGGTGTGCCCAATTTGGTTTACCATGGGTCAGGGCTTCGAGCTGCTCCTGCAGCGTGATGGATGCGTTGTAAGTCCGGAAGACCTTCGCCGTCAACCCAACCATCAGGTCCTGGAGATGTTTGTTCAGCGTTGCTGTCTGGAAAGCCAAGTGGGGAGTAAAGTTAGAGGAGAGAAGCAGGAAGAATAGCACCCCCAGGTAAGACCTTGGAGTTGACCCTCAATTTTGGGAAGACACAGGTAGGAACTTAACTCAGGAACACCCCGATGTTACTTTTGAGTTGATACAACTCAAAAGTAACTCCTTTCTCCGTAGGTTTGGGACTAATCCACTTCCCATCATCTTTAGTCCAGGAGAAAGCAAGCTAAGAGTTTTGTGATGGTAACGAAAGCTACTTCTAGGATAGAGTTCTCCAAATTTGGCAACTTTTAAGACTTGGAATGGCTGGCTGAGGAATTCTGGGAGTTAAAGTCCACAAGTCTTAAAGTTGCCAAGTCTGGAGACCACTGGACCAGGAGACCTGAATTGAAATGCAAATGGAAGATATCCAAAAAATACCCTACCCTATATCAGTGGTTCTTAACCTGGGCGATATTGCCCCCCAGGGGGCGATTTCATTTTTCAGGGGGGTGAAGGAACGAAAAGGGGGCGATATGGGGGCGATGGAACGAGAAGTTTTGGGGACCCTTTTGAGACTTTTTCGTACAGTGAATGGCTGTATATCTGTCATACAAAAACATCAGATTGCTCGCTATTAGTGGATTGAATTGTGTTTTCAAAAGTTCCTCCAGCTAGCTTCAATACAGAACGCCGTATATATGTGAAGACGCATTGCTTATCTTCATGCGCGTTGCGCAGCAACCTCTACCCATACAGTGTCGCGCCATTGGCCAGAATATGGGAGATATGGGGAAAAGACTGGAAATAAATTATTTGCAGCGATATGTCCTGATGACAATTTTAAAGAAAACAAAAAAAGGGTTTGCATAAATTGAAGAATGATTTCCTACGATTGAGAGGTTATGTTGGGGGAGGGGGGCGATGACAACTTCCTCATTGGCTCAAGGGGGCGATTCGTTCAAAAAGGTTAAGAACCACTGCCCTACATAATTATATTGAATCTTTATCTTCTTCCACCGGAGAACCTCAAATTATATGCACTAGATCCCCAATAATCTCCAGTCCCCACCATCCAGTCAGAGCTGAAGAAGCCTCTTGGATGGAGAGCAAAACGTCTTCAAAGAAAAGACGAAGTCCAGTTGCTTCTTGAAAAAAAACAGCACCCTTATGGGACTCTGAATTAGATCCAGACTTGCTTAAGCAAACTGAGTCATTACGTAATTTGGATTAGTGGTGGACCTCCATCCCCACCTTCCTCTCTGCCTCAAACCTAATGAAAGAGAGAGGAGAATACCACTATACCAGTGGTGGCGAACCTACGGCACGGGTGCCAGAGGCGGCACTCAGAGCCCTCTCTGTGGGCACACGCGCCATCGCTCCAGTCCTAGGCCTTCCGCTGGGTTTTATAAAACCTTTTCGCTTTAGGCCTCTGCCGCCGTGTGCAAAAAAAAAAAAAAGGTTCAATCAGTCAATTTCAACTTCTCGCGGGGAAAAAAAGATCTCGCAAAGTTGGAATTGATTGATGGAACTTTTTAGTCCCACCCAGTCTGCCGTTACCACCGCGGCCACACCCACCCAATGGGCCACGCCCAGCCAATGGGCCACACCCACCCAATGGGCCACACCCACCCAGCACCCTACGATGCGTAAGTGAGTTTTGGGCTGCAGTTTGGGCACTCGGTCTCTAAAAGCTTCGCCATCACTGGGCTATACTCTCAGTAAGAAAACACGGAATTTGAAAAAGGGGTACAAAATTCAAGGTCACCGTGCACTTACAGAGAGCTTATCAAACAGCTTGTCTCCAGGTTCTTTATCCTCCATGAACAACTCCAAGTTCTTGAACACCTGCAACAAAAACAGATCTCACAGTAAGACCCTCAAAGAATTTGACCGCGTCTAAAACACCGCGGTGGATGCAACATCAGACCTAGAAAGATCTGAAAGAGAGACCTGGGCTAAGAGAGAAAATCCAAGATCATCAATTGTTGGAGCATCAAGGTTGCCTACCCCTGCCCTATACCAACTCGGATAAATGGCTGTCCAATCTCTTAAAAATCTCCAGTGACGGAGCACCCACAACTTCTGGTGGCAAGCTATTCCACTGGTTAATTGTTCCCACTGTCAGGAAATTTCTCCTTAGTTCTAGGTTGCTTCTCTCCTTGATTAGTTTCCAACTGTTGCTTCTTGTCCTGCCTTCAGGAGCTTTGAAGAATAAGTTGACCCTCCCCACTCTTCTTTGTGGCAGCCCCTCAAATAGTTGGACAATTGCTATCATATCGTCCCTAATGGGAGAGTTAACTCATCTTAGGAGCAGTATCTGTCTTACAAACCCTTTCAAGGGCTTATACAACATAGAGCCATCGGGTCGGAAGGGACCTTGGGAGGTCTTCTAGTCCAGCCCCCTGCTCAAGCAGGAGACCCTATACCATTTCAGACAAGTGGCTGTCCAGTCTCTTCTTGAAAACCTCCAATAGAATAGACTCCCTTGAATAGAGTCTAATTCTATTGGCTTTCAAAAGCCAATAGGAATTGTCCAGGCTGTCTCTGCCCTGCTGAGCCCGCCAAAAGTCCCATTCTGCAAACGGTGCTGCACCAGTTGAGTAGTCCTTGACTTAGGACCGGTTGAGTAGTCCTCGACTTACGACCGGTTGGGGGTCACGGCATTAAAAAGGTTGAGAACCACTGCACTAATTGGCTGATCTCCTGCTGGAGATTTTCTGGGAGATTTATCCAACGGGTTTCTTCCAGGTGTTTCAGAACTACAACTTCCATTATCACCAGATCCCAGACTGGGAAAGGCCAGCCAGCCTAAACTCTCAGGGTGAAGCGCCCGGTTGGATAGGGCCACCTCCTGGCTCACCTGCTTCTCCACGGGCACCTTGTTGTAGTAGCGGATGCAGTCCTTGCCCAGGAAGTCAAACTCCACCACGTTCTCCTTGCCGCCCTGCCGCAGGTGCAGCGCGACGTGCTCCACTCGCAAAGAGCAGCAGCCCACCGTGTCGGCCGTCTCCCCTTCCTCCTTCTCGTTCCCCGCCCTCAGGGCCAGCTGCAAGGGGAGAAAGAAGGATGTGCAGCCACAGAGAAAAGGGACTCGTCAGAAGTTTTTCACATAGATGCCTGATGTCTTTTATTTTATTTTTATTTTATTTTTGATGCGCCTTTTCTAACGCTTCAATCGTTTTGTGTTTTGTGATTATTTTTTTTCCTTTTTGTCCTCTTGGATGGCTTATTTTATTTTATTTTATTTTATTAGAGCTCTGTACTCTGTATTTTAACTTTATTTTGAATAATATATATATTACTGTATTTTCCGGCGTATAAGACGGCTCGGCGTATAAGACGACCCCCAACTTCGGAGAAGATTTGCATGGTTTATAAAGTCGTCTTATATGCTGGAAAATACGGTTTATATATACATACATACATACATACATATATACATATACATATATAAATATATACATATGGATGTATGAATAATAATAATAACAACAACATCAAACATCCACATCTGCCTATCCCAGGTCCTTGGGGAGGACTCGATAGGTAGACAAAAATGCCAAATCCAGTCTGAACATCTGACTGACTGTGCGATGATCAATAACAATAATAGGAAGAAGAAGAAGAAGAAGAAGAAGAAGAAGAAGAAGAAGAAGAAGAAGAAGAAGAAGAAGAAGAAGAAGAAGAAGAAGAAGAAGAAGAAGAAGAAGAAGAAGAAGTAGTAGTAGTAGTAGTAGTAGTAGTAGTAGTAGTAGTAGTAGTAGGGAGGGACCTTGGAGGTCATCTAGTCCAACCCCCTGCTCAGGCAGGAAACTCTATACCAGCGGTTCTCAACCTTTGGGTCGCGACCCCATTTGGGGTCAAACGACCATTTTACGGGGGTCGCCAAACAACACGATCCGCCATTTTTTTCCCTCAGGGGGCAGCGCCGCGCATGCGCGCCGCGTCCTTATGACCAGGGTCGCCGTATAAAAAGGTTGAGAACCACTGCTCTATACCATTTCAGACAAATGGCTGTCCAGTCTCTTCTTATGTGTGTAAGTGTGTGTAAGTGTGTGTGTGTCTGTGTGTGTGTGTGTACATATATAAAACTCATTTTTTCAAAAGATGTGTAGGAAACAAGAAGGGAGGAGGGGAGGGGGAGGGAGGAGAAGGAGGAGGAGGAGGACACAGTCCTTGGTGCTCTCTGAGCTTGGATGTTTTCTTGCAGATATTTCATTACCCAACATCCTAGCACGAATGATCCCACAATCCTCTTCCTCCTCCTCCATTTCACAAACCCCACTCCCTTCTAGAGCTGATGATCTTACCCAGTTTGGTAATAAAATGTCTGCAAGAAAAGCATTCAGCTCAGAGAGCACCAAGCAGCTCAGTCTTTCTCTTTCTCCTCCTCTTCCACACTGCAAACCCCACTCCCTTCTAGCACTGATGATGTTACCTAGTCGGGTCGTGAAACGTCTGCAAGAAAACCACCCAGCTCAGAGAGCACCAAGGACCCCACAATCGTCCTCCTCCTCGTCCTCCTCCTCCTCCTCCTCGCAAACCCCAATCCCTTCTAGCACTGATGATGTTACCTAGTCGGGTCGTGAAACGTCTGCAAGAAAACCACCCAGCTCAGAGAGTACCCAGGATCCCACAGTCCTCCTCCTCCTCCTCCTCCCTTCTAGTACTGATGGTGTTACCTAGCTTGGTAATGAAATGTCTGGAAGAAAACAGCCAAGCTCAGAGAGCACCAAGGACCCCACAGTCCTCTTCCTCCTCCTCCTCCTCCTCCTCCCTTCTAGCACTGATGATGTTACCTAGCTGGGTCATGAAACGTCTGCAAGAAAACCACCCAGCTCAGACATGACCAAAGGCCCCACAGTTCAAACCTGAACTACAAAGATTCTCTTCTATTGGTTTAAAGTCAACCCAATCTCTGCGGGATCCTTGGGAAGAGATGCAGGGAAGGAGCCCAGCCATTTGGACGGCGATAAACCCCTTCTCACCTTATCGATGAAATAGAGCGCGACGGAGATTTGTCGCTTCTTCGGCTCCTTGCACTTCCAGTCTGCCCGGTACTGGCAGCGGATCCGGTGGACCACCTTCTTCAAGCAACGAGCCACCTCGTATTTCTGCCAGTCTTTCTCGCCCTGGAAGAAAAGGGGACTGTTGCAAGATTAGCAGTTTTGCAAAGTCCTCTGTCTGTCTGTCTGTCTGTCTGTCTGTCTGTCTGTCTGTCTGTCTGTCTGTGTGAGAGAGAGACAGAGACAGAGAGACAGAGACAGAGAGATGGAAAGAGGGGGAAAGAGAGAGAGCAAGAGAGACTGGGAGAGAGAGAAAGAGAAAGAGAGACTGGGAAAGACAGAAATAGACACAGAAAAAGAAAGAGAGATAGAAAGAAAGAGGAAAGAGAGAGAGAGAAAGAGACTGGGAGAGACAGAAATAAACACAGAAAATGAAAGGGAGTGATAGAAAGAAAGAGGGGGAAAGAGAGAGAGAAAGAGACTGGGAGAGAGAGAAATAAATACAGAAAAAGAAAGAGAGAGAAAGGGGGAGAGAAAGAGAAAGAGAGAGACTATGAGAGAGAGAAATAGACACAGAAAAAGAGAGAGATTAAAAGGGGGAGAGAGAGAAAGAGAAAAGGAGAAAGAGAGAGACTAGGAGAAATAGTCACAGAAAAAGAAAGAGAAAGAAAGGGGGAGAGAAAGAAAAAGAGAAAGAGAGACTAAGAGAGAGAAATAGTCACAGAAAAAGAGAAAGAAAGAGAAAAAGAGAGAGACTAAGAGAGAGAAATAGTCACAGAAAAAGAGAAAGAAAGAGAAAAAGAGAGAGACTAAGAGAGAGAAATAGTCACAAAAAAAGAGAAAGAAAGAGAAAAAGAGAGAGACTAAAAGGGGGAGAGAGAGAAAGAGAAAAGGAGAAAGAGAGAGACTAGGAGAAATAGTCACAGAAAAAGAAAGAGAAAGAAAGGGGGAGAGAAAGAAAAAGAGAAAGAGAGACTAGGAGAGAGAAATAGTCACAGAAAAAGAGAGAGAAAGAAAGAGAAAAAGAGAGAGACTAAGAGAGAGAAATAGTCACAGAAAAAGAGAAAGAAAGAGAAAAAGAGAGAGACTAAGAGAGAGAAATAGTCACAGAAAAAGAGAGAAAAAAGAGAAAAAGAGAGAGACTAGGAGAGAGAAATAGTCACAGAAAGAGAGAAAGAAAGAGAAAAAGAGAGAGACTAAGAGAGAGAAATAGTCACAGAAAAAGAGAGAGAAAAAAGAGAAAAAGAGAGAGACTAGGAGAGAAATAGTCACAGAGAGAGAAAGAAAGAGAAAAAGAGAGAGACTAAGAGAGAGAAATAGTCACAGAAAAAGAGAAAAAGAGAGAGACTAGGAGAGAGAAATAGTCACAGAAAAAGAGAAAGAAAGAGAAAAAGAGAGAGACTAAGAGAGAGAAATAGTCACAGAAAAAGAGAGAGAAAAAAGAGAAAAAGAGAGAGACTAAGAGAAATAGTCACAGAAAAAGAGAGAGAAAGAAAGAGAAAAAGAGAGAGACTAAGAGAGAGAAATAGTCACAGAAAAAGAGAGAGAAAAAAGAGAAAAAGAGAGAGACTAAGAGAAATAGTCACAGAAAAAGAGAGAGAAAAAAGAGAAAAAGAGAGAGACTAGGAGAGAAATAGTCACAGAGAGAGAAAGAAAGAGAAAAAGAGAGAGACTAAGAGAGAGAAATAGTCACAGAAAAAGAGAAAAAGAGAGAGACTAGGAGAGAGAAATAGTCACAGAAAAAGAGAAAGAAAGAGAAAAAGAGAGAGACTAGGAGAGAGAGAGAGAGAGAGAGAGAGAGAGAGAGAGAGAGAGAGAGAGAGAGAGAGAGAGAGAGCCTGGGAGAGAGAGAAATAGACACAGAAAAAAGAGAGAAATAGAAAGTAGGAGGGGGGGAACAGAGAGAGAAAATAGAATAGAGTTGAAAATATGGAATGGAATAGAATGGAGAACAGAACAGAACAACTTCATTGTCACTTTAAACGCACACTAATCAGAAGACATTAAAATGAGATTTCTTGGCTCTCTAAGGGATGAGAGGAGTGAGGAACTTCACCTTCAGCCTGGAACTCGGGTTCAGCATGATGTACTTGATGGAGCCCTGGATGTTCTCCGTCCACGAGGCCAACCAGGTGACTGTCTTGTCGCACCTGACTTCTTTCCACTTGTGACCTCGCGGAGGCCGGGGCACCTTTGAATCTCTGGGAGGAAGGAAGAAAAAAAGAAAAAAAAAAGGGGGGGGGACGGACGGACAGGAGGGAGTTTTAAAAGTTTAAAACTTTTAAAGTAGGACAGCAAGAGAATTGCTCAAGCATGGTGGAGATTCTCTTCCATAAAATCTCTTCACCCTTTGTTGGTAATTGGATCACCCAGCCGGCTTTCAGGCCTAAGGCGGGACTAGAACTCCCAGTCTCCTGGCGATTGGCCCAAAGTCACCCAGTTGGCTTTCATGCCTAAAGTGGGACTAGAACTCCCAGTCTCCTGGCGATTGGCCCAAAGTCACCCAGTCAGTTTTCAGGCCTAAGGCGGGACTAGAACTCACAGTCTCCTGGCGATTGGCCCAAAGTCACCCAGTCAGCTTTCAGGCCTAAGGCGGGACTAGAACTCACAGTCTCCTGGTGATTGGCCCAAAGTCACCCAGCCGGCTTTCAGGCCTAAGGCGGGACTAGAACTCCCAGTCTCCTGGTGATTGGCCCAAAGTCACCCAGCCGGCTTTCAGGCCTAAGGCGGGACTAGAACTCCCAGTCTCCTGGCGATTGGCCCAAAGTCACCCAGCTGGTTTTCAGGCCTAAGGCAGGACTAGAACTCCCAGTTTCCTGGCAATTGGCTTAAAGTCACCCAGTCAGCTTTCAGGCCTAAGGCGGGACTAGAACTCCCAGTTTCCTGGCGATTGGCCTAAAGTCACCCAGCCGACTTTCATGCCTAAGGCAGGACTAGAACTCACAGTTTCCTGGCGATTGGCCCAAAGTCACCAGTCAGCTTTCAGGCCTAAGGCAGGACTAGAACTCACAGTCTCCTGGTGATTGGGCCAAAGTCACCCAGTCAGCTTTCAGGCCTAAGGCAGGACTAGAACTCACAGTCTCCTGGTGATTGGGCCAAAGTCACCCAGCCGGCTTTCATGCCTAAGGCGGGATTAGAACTTACCATCTCCTGGCGATTGGCCCAAAGTCACCCAGTCAGCTTTCAGGCCTAAGGCGGGACTAGAACTCACCATCTCCTAGTGTCTAGCCTGGCGCCTTAACCACTACACCCAACTGGCTCTCTTTCAATTAGCAAAACAAAGCCCGAACAGAACTTTTCAATGAAGAGGAAAGAGGAGGTGAGAACATTCAAGTCTCCTCCCTGTCCATCTTAAAGCCTGCTAGCTGGAGAATTCTGGGAGTTGAAGTCCACCCACCCTAAAAATTGCCAAGATTGAGAAACACGGTCATAGATTAAGACCTCGTTACGCAATTCGAGACCCACTGGCTACAATTGATGACGATGTCTTCCGGCATGATCCTCTTCTTCAGCATCCCCAGTTTGGGGTGATCCCCTCGGCCCCGGAATAGGCCTGGCGGCTCGGTCTTGAAGTTGCCGATCTTCTCCCGATGGCCATCGATGACGCAGTAGCCGTATTCCTCTTGGATCCTGTCGGCCTCCTCTTTCAACCTCTGTTAAAAAGATACTGTCAACACTGCTAATATTGAATATTCCTCTTTCAACCTCTGTTAAAAAGATACTGTCAACACTGCTAATATTGAATATTCTTGCTTTGACAAAACAGGCAGAACTGTCTGGTACTTTTAGAGTTAATTCAGGTGAGGGAGGGAGGAGAGAAAAGCCCGGGGAAAGGAAGAGAACCTTTGCCCTTCAAACTAATTGGAGAACGTAAATCATGACAGCAAAATAAGGAAGGGGAAATGCTAGCAAAAATAACTGCTGGGGTGGGATGGAGATTTCAGATCTTAGCATCCTTTCATCCTGCCTTGCCGACATTTTGTCACATGAATAAAAAGACTTTTTAGGATAAAAAGCCTGGAAGTTCTTTGAAGTGTTTCATTAGTCGGAACCTTGACAGATACACCATAATAAGCAGTTATTTCCAAGGAAAAGATACCCCTGGCCTAGATAAAGGAGGAGGGAGAGTAAGCATTGGATGGTGCAAAATATGGGAAGGGAAGGGAAGGGAAGGGACGGTAGCCACAGGGTTGAACTGGGGGGTCCCTGCCACTCTCTGAGCTTGGATGTTTTCTTGCAGATGTTTCATGACCCAACTAGGAAACATCATCAGTGCTAGAAGGGAGGGGGGATTGTGGAGAGGAGGAGGAGGAGGAAGAAGAAGAAGACTGTGGGGTCCTTGGTGCTCTCTGAGCTGGGTGGTTTTCTTGCATATGTTTCATGACCCAACTAGGATACATCATCAGTGCTAGAAGGGAGGAGGGACTGTGGGGTCTCTTCCATCATCATCATCATCATCATCATTATTATTATTATGGATCATCGCATAGTCAGCCAGATGTTCAGACTGGATTTGGCATTTTTGTCTACCTATCGAGTCCTTACCCAGGACCTGGGATAGGCAGATGTGGATGTTTGATGGTATTACAGGTATTGTCGCAGGATGGAAGCAGTTCCTAATAAGGCCGCCTTTTGCAATTGACTAATAGCGAATTTGTCAATGCCGATGATGGTGTTCAAGTGGTGCTCCAGTTGTTTTGGGATTGCACCCAAGGCGCGTATGACTATTGGTACTACCCTTGCTTGCTTTTGCCACAGTCTTTCTATTTCCATTTGTAAGTCTTTGTATTTTGTGATCTTCTCCAGTTCTTTCTCGTCTGTTCTGCTGTCCCCAGGCACTACTATTATTATTATTATTATATTATTATTATTATTAAAGTTTCAAGGCTGGAGATTCCCGCTTGAAAGAGTGGGAAAGATCCCAATTTGATCAACGTCACTTATTGTCTCACCTGTTTCTCCTCCTTAGAGAGCGCCTTCTGGGCTTCTTGCTTTTCCAGGAAGTAATCGTGGATGTCGCTGAAATCACATTTCTTAAGGTCTTTGATTTTCTTCCTTTCCTGCGGAGTCATCACCTACATGGGAAAAGGAGGGCATCTAAGGGCTAAAACTGTACACAAACTAGAAAACAAGTTATCCACAATAAGATGCCGTCTAAATCAGTCTTTCTCAACCTTGGCACCTTTAAGAAGTCTGGACTTCGACTCCCAGAATCCTCCAGTCAACATGGTAATTTTAAGAAGTCTGGACTACGACTCCCAGAATTCCCCAGTCAGCATAGTAACTTTAAGAAGTCTGGACTACGACTCCCAGAATTCCCCAGTCAACATGGTAACTTTAAGAAGTCTGGACTACGACTCCCAGAATTCCCCAGTCAACATGGTAACTTTAAGAAGTCTGGACTACGACTCCCAGAATCCTCCAGTCAACATGGTAACTTTAAGAAGTCTGGACTACGACTCCCAGAATTCCCCAGTCAGCATAGTAACTTTAAGAAGTCTGGACTTTCTCCCAGAATCCTCCAGTCAACATGGTAACTTTAAGAAGTCTGGACTACGACTCCCAGAATCCTCCAGTCAACATGGTAACTTTAAGAAGTCTGGACTACGACTCCCAGAATTCCCCAGTCAGCATAGTAACTTTAAGAAGTCTGGACTTTCTCCCAGAATCCTCCAGTCAACATGGTAACTTTAAGAAGTCTGGACTGCGACTCCCAGAATCCCCCAGACAACATGGTAACTTGAGGAAGTTTGGACTACGACTCCCAGAATCCTCCAGTCAACATGGTAACTTTAGGAAGTATGGACTTCGACTCCCAGAATCCCCCAGTCAACATGGTAACTTTAAGAAGTCTGGACTTTGACTCCCAGAATCCCCTAGCCAGTGTCACCACTTTAAGAAGAAAGAATAAAAGACAGAGATCTATGCTGGCTGGAGAATTCTGGGTGTTGAAGTCCTCAAGTCTTAAAAGTTGCCAAGTTTGGACACTCCAGGATAAACAATCTCAAATTCCTTACCTGTCAGTTGCACCTTTCCATTGTTCTGCTTTTGGGGGCAGGATGGGATGGGGGGGCATTTCCCCTACGCCAGTGGTGGCGAACCTATGGCACACATGCCAGAGGTGGCACTCAGCGCCCTCTCTGTGGGCACGCGTGCCATACTCCGGAGATGGCAACAGTCCCTCTTCAACCAACCGCCCACTAACTCGTCGAGGTCCCACGTGGCCGGATGCATCCCAGCACAGCTGGTTTCCGTCCCCCCATCCCATCCCTCCTGGCCTTGCGTGCTCTCCTTTTCCCGGGCACGGCCCACTGCATCACCTCCTCAGCTGTCGGCCATCCGTCCAGCCCAGAGGCGGCTTCTCTGAACTGCTGGCGATGGGCTGCGGAGCACCAGAGTACGCTGGTCGAGGGGCCGTCAGGCTGTGGCTGCTGACGGACACTGCCAGCCCCCATGTGCTCTGTGTGCGGGGGCCGATGGGTTCAGGCAGCAGCCCCCCGGCCCCTGCCTCGCCTTGCCCTTCAACAATGGCACCCCTGCCCTTCCTCGCCTCACCCCGCAGGACGAGCCTCCTGCCCATTGCCCCACCTGCCAGAGACCCCCTGGATCTCCCCCAACCCTGCCTGGCCCCCACAGGCGTCCCTCCCCACGCGCAACATCGAGGTGACCACGTCCACCTTGGCCACACCCACCCAGTCTGCCATGACCACCACAGCCGCGCACACCCAGTGGGCCGCGCCCACCTGGCACCCGGCGATAAGTAAAGTGTCATTGTTCCGACTAATGTGACACTTCAAAGAGCATGAAGTGGTTTTGGGGTTGCAGTTTAGGCACTCGGTGTCTAAAAGGTTCACCCTCATTGCCCTATGCCAGCGGTTCTCCACCTGTGGGTCGGGACTCCATTTGGGGTCGAACGACCATTTCACGGGGGTCGCCAAACAACGCAGTCCGCCATTTTTCCCCCCCTTTTCCTTAGCTGTGCTACTCCCTTTTATTCTATTGGCTTTCCAAAGCCAATGGGAATTGTCCAGGCTGTCTCTGCCCTGCTGAGCCCGCCAAAAGCCCCAGTCTGCAAACGGTGCTGCACCAGTTGAGTAGTCCTCGACGTACGACCGGTTGGGGGTCGTGGCATTAAAAAGGTTGAGAACCACTGCCCTATGCAGTTGCCGAATTAAAAAGGCCAGCCTCCCAAATACACACACACATACACACACACACACACACAAACACCAATGGATACCTGCGTCCAGTCACAGAAAAAGTTATCCCGGAAAATCTTCTTGCGTGCGTAGTCGTGGTCCAGCATCTTGGCGAAAAACGTCGCCACTTCCTCGGCGGCCCGGCTTAGCTTCACAGGCCTGCCTGCAACAGAGGAGGGTGGCCATCCGGTGATCGTGGGGGCTGGGGGGGGGACATGATTGCCCCTCCATCACACTAAGAGCCAACCCTTCCCTACAGCCTTCTACGAAGCTCAGGAGATGCCACCACACGCCGCTTCTCCTCCACCTCCATCCAGAGAGGACCACCTACCGTTGTAGTAGAACTTGACGGAGCTGGGCAGAGGCTGGTAAGGTGGTGCCAAATAGGGTCCCCTGTGGTGCAACTGGTGCCATTTGACGCCGTTGTCGTCTCGTTTCTCTTCCTCCCACCTGGCGGGCGGAAGTTTAGCAAGGGTTAACGTCCTCCGAGATGGTTTTTAATCTCTGAATGGCAATCTTCTCCAACCGTACCCTTGGCATCTCCCAGACATGTGGGGACCGCAACTCCCAGCCTTCCAGGGCATTCTGGGAGAGGTGGGATTCACACATATATACCTGGGAGCCACCAGGGGGTGGTAGGCTGATATGTATGCCTTTAATCCCCAGTTCACACGGCTGGCTGAGGGATTCTGGGTGTTGAAGTCCACAGGTTTTCAAGTTCCCAAGGTTGGACACTCCTGGTATAGGGGGTTGGACTAGATGACCTCCAAGGTCCTCTTCCAACTCGTATGTCATAATTTTATTCTTTTCTGACACAAAAATGTCCATAGTTCTAATGTGTGTATGTCTGTGTGTATATATGTATGTATGTGTGTGTGTGTGTGTGTGTGTGTGTGTGTATACACAGAAAGTATTTCATGATTGCATCTTTAGCATTTTGACTGCTATACTGAAGCTCTACTTTTTATAATCCCTTTTGCTTTGCAGCCCCCCAACGAGGGGCATTAAGCAGGCTCAAGTCGCTACTGCGATACATCACAAATTTTGTCAGCAAAAAGAAATATGAATATGAATATGTGTGTGTGTGTGTGTGTGTGTGTGTGTGTGTGTTTGGTTGTTCGGGTTTTCTCCCGCGTAAAATTGGAAGTGTCTTGGCGACGTTTTGACGAAGTCCCATTCGTCATCTTCAGGCTGGTGTTTTCAGCTTCGTGCTTTGAGGAGCAATGTGTGGTCTTAGCTGTTTCTTCCTTTTAACTGCTAGTGGGGGTATGAACTGATAGGGTGGGAGCTTGGCTGTGTTCTGATTGGATGGAGGTGTGTTCTGATTGGTTAGGGGCTTGGCTGTGCTCTGATTGGCTGGGGGGTTGGCTGTGCTCTGATTGGCTGGGGGAGTGTTCTGTTTGGTTGTGCTCAGGTTAGTCTGAGTTGCAGGGGGGTTTAAGATTTTGGGCTGCCTTGCTATTTTTTGGCTTCGCGTTCGTGGTCGTGCCTCATCTTCATGGAGGGTGTCAGTCTGCTTCATGTATGGATTGGAGGGGTTTAAAGTGGCTAACGATGAAGCTGTGGTCTGCATCATGATACCTCCCACCTACCAGCCATTTGGAAACCCGCCCTTATCGACAAACGACTCCCTAACACAAAAAATGATACCAGACCCACACTCACAAAAACCACACAGGATGTCACCACCACACATCCACGCAAAAAGCAAACCCAAAGCCACACCGATGATGAGGCACGACCACAAACCAGAAGACAGACCACAGCTGCATCATTAGCCACTTTAAACCCCTCCAATCCATACATGAAGCAGACTGACACCCTCCATGAAGATGAGGCACGACCACGAACCAGCCAATCAGAGCACAGCCAACCCCCCAGCCAATCAGAGCACAGCCAAGCCCCTAACCAATCAGAACACACCTCCATCCAATCAAAACACAGCCAAGCTCCCACCCAATCAGTTCATACCCCCACTGGCAGTTAAAAGGAAGAAACAGCTAAGACCACACATTGCTCCTCGAAGCACGAAGCTGAAAACACCAGCCTGAAGATGACGAATGGGACTTCGTCGAAACGTCGCCAAGACACTTCCAATTTTACGCGGGAGAAAACCCAAACAACAAAGACCTACATACAAACACCTGCGAAAACCTCAGAAAACTATATATATATATATATATATATATATATATATATATATATATATATATATATATATATATATATATATATATGTTTTCTGAGGTTTTCGCGGGTATTTGTATGTAGGTCTTTGTTGTTCGGGTTTTCTCCCGCGTAAAATTGGAAGTGTCTTGGCGACGTTTCGACGAAGTCCCATTCGTCATCTTCAGGCTGGTGATTTCAGCTTCGTGCTTCGAGGAGCAATGTGTGGTCTTAGCTGTTTCTTCCTTTTAACTGCCAGTGGGGGTATGAACTGATTGGGTGGGAGCTTGGCTGTGTTCTGATTGGGTGGAGGTGTGTTCTGATTGGTTAGGGGCGTGGCTGTGCTCTGATTGGCTGGGGGTTTGGCTGTGCTCTGATTGGCTGGGGGGTTGGCTGTGCTCTGATTGGCTGGGGGAGTGTTCTGTTTGGTTGTGCTCAGGTTAGTCTGAGTTGCAGAGGGATTCACGATTTTGGGCTGCCCTGCCATTCCTTGGCTTCGCGTTCGTGGTCGTGCTTCCTCTTCATGGAGGGTGTCAGTTTGCTTCATGTATGGATTGGGGGGTTTAAAGTGGCTAATGATGCAGCTGTGGTCTGGCTTCTGGTTTGTGGTCGTGCCTCATAGTCAGTGTGGCTTTGGGTTTGTTTTTTGCGTGGATGTTTGGTGGTGACATCCTGTGTGGTTTTTGTGAGTGTGGGTCTGGTATCATTTTTTGTGTTAGGGAGTCGTTTGTCAATGAGGGAGGGTTTCCAAATGGCTGGTAGGCGGGAGGTATCATCTCGCTTGTTCATGCTGTGTGGGCGTTTTTCTATCTCGATGGCTTCTCTGATTATTCTGTTATTAAAATGTTCACTTTGGGCAATGGTTCTGGTATTTTTAAAGTCAATTTCATGTCCTGTGGCTTTAAGGTGTTGGACCAGGGAAGATGTTGGTTCCTCTTTTTTGACTGAGTTCTTATGTTCTTCAATGCGTGCACTTATTCTTCGGTTGGTTTGTCCGATGTATGTGGTGGGCCACGTGGTGCATGGGATTTGTATATTCCTTGATTTTCTAATTCAATTTTATCTTTGGGGTTTCTAAGGATGGTGGATATTTTTCTGTTTGTGCAGAATGCTGTTTTGATGTTGTGTTTGTGGAGGATCTTACTGATTCTGTCTGTGGTGCCTTTTATGTATGGGAGGAGGGCTTGCCGTTTTCTTGTTCTTTGTCTTGGATTTAGTGGGGGTTTCTTTTTGGATTAGGTTTGTAATCTTATTTCTTTGGAATCCATTGGATGTTAGTACATTGGTGAGAGTGTGTAGTTCGGTTTTTAGGTGTTGTTCGTCAGCTAAGCGTTTTGTTCTGGAGATGAGTGTCTGGGCTACAGAGTTGATCGGTGCTGGGTGGTGGTGTGAGAGAGCGTGCAGATAGCGGTTTGTGTGTGTTTTCTTCTGGTAGATGGTGTGTCCTAGGGAGCCATTGGATTTCTTGTAGACTAAGACATCCAGGAAGGGAAGTTGGTTGTTAGCTTCTGTTTCCATGGTGAACTGTATTTTGGGGTGTAGGATGTTGAGGTGTGTGAGGAAGTTGTCCAATTTTTCTTTCCCATGTGGCCAGATTATGAAGGGCGGTCGTCTACGTATTCTGAGCCAGAGTTGGGTTTTTGATCCGATTTTATAGAGCTTGGGTTTCAAAAGTGTTCCATGTAGAGGTGGCAATGGGACAGGTGAGAGAGGGGTGAGTCCCATGGGTGATCCTTCTGTTTGTTTGTCAGTTTTTGTCATTATAGATGAAGTATGCGTTGGACAAGGCGAGTGGTGGTCAGATCTAAGATGTGTTTGGGGTTTTTTTTTTTTTTTTTTTTTTTTTTTTTTTTTGGGGGTTATATTTGTTTTGGATAGCTGTCAAGGATTCTTTGATAGGCACTTGGGTGAAGAGGGATATGACATCAAAGCTCACTAGTAGGGCGCTGGGCTGCAAGTTTTGTTTTCTTTATGATCTCTATAAAATGGGAATGAGTTTTTTACGTGTGAGGTGATGGATTCTGCATAGGCTGTAGTGTTTGGTGAAGAAATTTGGCTGGTTTTGTAGAGGTGAGCCTATGGAGCGCCTATAGGTTGAGCACGCATTGAAGAACATAAGAACTCAGTCAAAAAAGAGGAACCAACATCTTCCCTGGTCCAACACCTTAAAGCCACAGGACACGAAATTGAATTTAAAAATACCAGAACCATTGCCAAAAGTGAACATTTTAATAACAGAATAATCAGAGAAGCCATCGAGATAGAAAAACGCCACACAGCATGAACAAGCGAGATGATACCTCCCGCCTTCCAGCCATTTGGAAACCCGCCCTTATTGACAAACGACTCCCTAACACAAAAAATGATACCAGACCCACACTCACAAAAACCACACAGGATGTCACCACCACACATCCACACAAAAAGCAAACCCAAAGCCAAACCGATGATGAGGCACGACCACAAACCAGAAGCCAGACCACAGCTGCATCATTAGCCACTTTAAACCCCTCCAATCCATACAAGAAGCAAACTGACACCCTCCATGAAGATGAGGCACGACCACGAAGCCAAAAAATAGCAAGGCAGCCCAAAATCTTAAACCCCCCTGCAACTCAGACTAACCTGAGCACAACCAAACAGAACACTCCCCCAGCCAATCAGAGCACAGCCAACCCACCAGCCAATCAGAGCACAGCCAACCCACCAGCCAATCAGAGCACAGCCACGCCCCTAACCAATCAGAACACACCTCCACCCAATCAGAACACAGCCAAGCTCCCAACCAATCAGTTCATACCCCCACTGGCAGTTAAAAGGAAGAAACAGCTAAGACCACACATTGCTCCTCGAAGCATGAAGCTGAAAACACCAGCCTGAAGATGACGAATGGGACTTCGTCGAAACGTTGCCAAGACACTTCCAATTTTACGCGGGAGAAAACCCGAATAAACAAAGACCTACACACACACACACACACACACACACACACACACCACACACATCACACACACACACACACACACACACACACACACATAGATATAATCTATATATATATATATATATATATATATATATATGTTTTCTGAGGTTTTCGCGGGTATTTGTATGTAGGTCTTTGGTTGTTCGGGTTTTCTCCCACGTAAAATTGGAAGTCTCTTGGCGACGTTTCGACGAAGTCCCATTCGTCATCTTCAGGCTGGTGCTTTCAGCTTCGTGCCTCAAGCAGCAGTGTGTGGTCTTGGCTGTTTCTTCCTTTTAACTGCCAGTGGAGGTATGAACTGATTGGGTGGGAGCTTGGCTGTGTTCTGATTGGGTGGAGGTGTGTTCTGATTTGTTAGGGGCGTGGCTGTGCTCTGATTGGCTGGGGGGTTGGCTGTGCTCTGATTGGCTGGGGGGTTGGCTGTGCTCTGATTGGCTGGGGGAGTGTTCTGTTTGGTTGTGCTCAGTTTAGTCTGAGTTGCAGAGGGATTCAAGATTTTGGGCTGCCCTGCCATTCCTTGGCTTCGCGTTCGTGGTCGTGCTTCCTCTTCATGGAGGGTGTCAGTTTGCTTCATGTATGGATTGGGGGTGTTTAAAGTGGC